ATCCAAGTAGTGTCCAATGATTGGGAATTTTTACTGCTGCCAATAGCCCGCACGCGAAAATATCCACCTCCTACACCTAGTGCTCCACGACTTATCATTGCTGCTCACACATGCCAAACGATAATGTCCACAGAACCAAAACCCCATGACTTCATAACCCGACAGGAGGGAACTCTAGTCATTCCACACAACCTTCAGATACGGATGTGATGCATTCAACGTCCACTTACTCCTAGCTAGATGTCCACACATAGTCTCAACCAACACGAAGCTTTAACCGATGAACCACTCTGGAAACACTCACAAAATAATAAACGAACACAAACAACTATCTATATGAATAAAAAAAACCTACTACTTAAACTTTCACAAAAGCTTCAAAAAGAGAACTATTTTAACTGCAGTCGCAACTAACTCAAATCTAAATTCGGACACCATCCACACAGACTTGTGAACAAAAGCTAGAGGATAGATGAGAAACCTAACCGTGAAAACTAGAAGCGATATGGATTTCAGTCCATCCGAACTCTAGATCAATCCACATCTTCCATCGAACCCACCAAAAAAGACATGAACAACTAGAGTACGAAGGAACGAGTCCATCCCCGGCGGTGGTGAGAGAAACGACCACCAAGGAGGGAATTGAAAGAAGAAGAGCACTTAACATTAAACTCTAGTATTAAGATAAAAACTAGTTATTATTGATTGTCTTCACAGATTCTTGTTTATGTAGTACTAGGTGATTTTCCCGTGCTCATGCACGGACATAAATATTTATAAAATAAATATATTATAATAGTTGATTGATATTTACTTTAACTTTTATATTAATTTATAGTTTTTATGTATAATTTATATTAATAATATTATATTATTTTAGTTATATATAATTGTAGATATATTAGATTTAGTCAGTTTTATCATTTGGATATATATATATATATATATATATATATTGGATTCTATCTATTTCACTGAATTCAACTATAATCTTTTTTATTCTAAATATCTTTAATTTTTGATTAATTGTTTTATTTACATTTATGTTGGTTGTTATCTTAGAAATATAAGTATATCTTAGTAAGTATGTATTTTAAGATTTTTGTGCTTAGAGAGAAAAAAATAAAAACTAAAGTGTCTGATTTTCACGTGCAAATACACGGGTATGAATATTCATAAAATAAAATTTTATAATAATTGAATGATATTTAGTTTTAGTTTTGAATAAATTTATATGTATAATTCATATTAATAATATTATATTATTCTAATTATATATATGACTTTGAATATATTATTGTCAGTTTAATTATTTTTTGGATCAATAGTCGGTTTAGTTGTCAATTTGGTATATTGCATAATATATATATTTTGAATTAAGCTATAATATTTTTTATTCTAAATATAATAAAACTTTGATTAATTTTCTTATTTTCATTTCGGTTGGTTATTGTCTTAGATATGTAAATATATTATAGTTAAATTATGTATAACTTAATATATATTGTGCTTAAAATAAAATAAATAATAAGCTGAAGTGTTTGATTCAAAATTACATAAATGAATATAATGATAATATTTTGAAGTCTCATGCATATATATAAATTATACAAAAGAATTAAATTGTAATTGGATAATATTTTCTTTTTCTTTTTAATATGTTTTGAATCAACCTCTAATTTATATGTATAAAATTAAATAGATTATTATTATTAATATTAATATTAATATTATTATTATTATTATTATTATTATTATTATTATTATTATTATTGTAGTTAGATGTTTCATTTTGGATATAAATTATATTAGTCAAAAAAATAAATAAATAAATTAGATTAGTCGAGTCATTCATTTGTGAGTATATTGAGTTAAATCTATTTTTAAATTAAAATTGAAGTATAATTAATTTTTAGTTAAGTCAAATCAAATTAATTTTATTTATCGCTTAAATATACATGTATTTTCATAATATTTATTTACTCTTTATTTTAGTTAAGTCAAATCAAATTAGTTATTTATCGCTTAAATATACATGTATTTTCATAATATTTATCAAATTATATGTTGATTTCTAAAGAATATTAGAAAATAAAGTGTAACTGATAAATTTTTGAATGATATAGTCGAATATTTTATAAAATTTAAATAATTTATGCGTTAGATTGATTGGATGGTAAACTGAAATTAGTTTAAATAATTTTAAAAATAAAGTATTCTGATTTGTTTAAGTATTTTGATTATGGTTATATTAAATTCCACAAACATAAAACAGAAAATTAAACATCACAAGAGTTATTAAGAAAACTAATAATTTTAACTATTAAAATATAATATATCTACCTCGTTAAATTATATAGTGTTATGATATTTTAAAAGGATTGTAGTTATTTGATGAAAAGATGTTTATTATTAAATTTATTTTTAGTTTTTTTTTTAATATCTCTTAAAATATTCAGTAAAAATTTGATTGTTTTTGGAAATTATATTATATAAGTAAAATATAATTTATATTTTTTGCTGTAACTGTAAGATATTATAATCAAATAAATATATTAATTCTAATTTTGTTCTGTCAATTAAACATATATTAATTTATGTTACTTAATTATTTTATGCAATCATCTAATAAAATAGATAGATATATACAAAAACTAATTACTTTGAAAATATATATATTTTATTGTTTAAATTATTTTTGTAAATAAAAAATATTTCTTTTTCTAATATCAAGATTATTTGTATGATTTTTTTTTATGAAAACACATTATATACAAATATTTGTTTTCATCTAAGAAGATATAGATATAAAGTATAATTACTTAAAAAGTATAATATTTAAAAATATATTTAAGTTAAATATTACTATTTTGTAAACTTTCCTTTTTTTGAAACCATATTATATATATACTTATTTTTTTCGTTTTTAAATAGTTTTGTAAATTTTATAAATATTTTCTTTTTGTTTTATATTATTATTTGGAAGATTTTAAAAAGGAAATAATAATATTTAAATATATTTTTAATTCATTAGGGGTATCATAGTAATCAACCAGCGTGAAAGTTAACGTGAGCACGACATCTAAGAAAGTGACTTCTCAAATAATATTATAGAGATTACAACGGACCATGCGTTATGTTACCCTGATACCAAGCATAAAAACTAATAAATAGTTTTAACTATATTTTATTTTCAATAATATACTTTTGATATTTTAAAATTATTAGAAAAGTTAATTCAGTAAAACATATACACTAGTAAGTAAATTAAAACTTAATTTTATCACATAAAGAATAAGGATGCAACAACCATTAAAATATACTTAGATCCTTTGTCCGCGCTACGCGCAGGTAGTGTACATTAATTTTTTTTCATTTCAATTTTTTTTTGATATTTTACATTATATTATATTTAAGAATAAAATTTATAGTAATACCTTGGTTTTATTAATAAAATAACCTTATGATTTAAAATATGATAATGATACTTTGAAATTTTGCATTATGTTTTTTTTAGATATAATTATATTAATTTTTTAACTATTGTTTGCATATTTGCATTAATGTCCATGAAAGAATGATTATTATATGTTTTAATAATATTTTAAATAAGTGATATGTTATCTAAATGTTTGCTTTTTCATAACTTTTTATTATTATTTTCTGTTATTTCTAAACTACTACATTGTCTAAACTACTACATTCTGAATAGAATTGTCTATATTTACATTAGCCACATTTACCCTTAATTTTTAAGAATTAAATAGAAACTTATAATCATAGAATTAACTAATCTAGATTTTAGAGTTTAGATTCGAGGGATACTATTTCGAAAGATGAGGTATAGGATTTTAATAAATATATAAAAATACTTATTTTTTATAAAACAAAATTTTTTAAAAAAATTAAAAATTGAATTCGAAAAGGAAAATTTGAAAAAAATGAGAATTTGAAATAAATAAAATTTGAAAAAAAAATTTGAACAATATTTTTTTAAAATATGATTATAAAAAATTTCCAATTTGAAATTGTATAATTCAATAACTATATAATAAAATTATTTTATTATTTATTTAAATAATTATTTATGTTTATACATCGATAAAGTAAGGATATATAAGTTTTTTTACTCTTTAATGAAGAAGGTATTTGTAAGAGTATCATTTAATGAAGGTAAATATGAACTGCAGTAGTATAAAAAAAAAAGTAAAAGTGAATATTATCTTTTTTATATGTTTTAGAAGACTTGCACATACAGTGAAACCTCTTTAAATTAATAATGTTGGGACAACACCAAAAACTAATTTATAGATATACTAATTGAACCAAAAACTCAATTTGGGACTATAAAATTATATTAATTTATAGAGATATTTAGTATATATTAATTTATCGAGTATTAATTTATAGAGGTTCTACTGTATATTTTTGTATCTTTACTTCTTAGTTTAACCATATTTTAGTTTAGTATTTTTTATTGTTTTATTGTTTTCTTTGTTAAACTAAATATATACAATACATTAATATTTCCACCTGGTGTTTTCATATTTTATATTAATTCTAAATTAACACATAATTAATATTTGTGTATTCAGTATACAATATATAATTTTTTTTGTTGTTGTAACTTTACAATATATTATTGTTTATGAACATACAATACATTACTGTTTTTGAACTGACAATATATTATTGTTGAGTCCGCTTTTGCACCAAAAAACGTGAAAGAAACGTTTCAACAAATTTAGGATACACCGTCACATTTAATACCATATTATTGTATACATGTTGGTTAAAAATGCAGTTTACCGAATGCTACTTAACAAAAATATAATCTCAGCAGACTTGTAAGGTCCATTTTTTTTTAGTAAGACGTTATAAGAATAGCTCTGGTGAAAATAATAACCCAGAGACTAACTTTGTTGTTTCACTATATAACAAAAGTTTCCAGGCTGATGATATATATTCAAACACTCATCGTTCTTTTAATGCTCTAGCTACTAATCTGAAGCCAGCAATCTCATATGCTGTGTAAGAATCTCAAGATTCCTAGACCTCTCTGGAGTAAGCTGTCCAATATCATAATCATCTGCTTTCTCCATTTCTTCTTCTATCAGCTCGAGTGCAACACTCTTGTCTAGTTCCATTCTTCCTCCATCTTCATCATCCTTCTCCTCCAATGTCACATCATCTTTTCCCTTCTTCACATTCTTCTCCTGCACATTCTTCTTCTTCTTTGAAGGGCTCAACAACAAAAGCTTTTCCCAAGCCCCTTCATCATACAAATCAGGTATGATCAACGGCACACTCTTCTCATCCAAGCAGAACTTCAACATGTCAGCGTTACTCAAGAAATCATTTATGTCATTCGAGCTTGACTTTGTTGTTGTTCCCTCTGATTGTGGCTTTTGGTATGTTACTAAAGGAAGACCATTCCAGTTTGTTTCTCCATCATCAGTAACTTCCTCCAAAATCTTCGCTCCTCCTACTCCCCATTCCGTCTTTCTCCAACTGTTTTCCTTAGGCTGAAGCAAACGAACCAAAAGACTTGGATTCTGCATAACCATAACCAAAAAAGAAAGCATCTCTTGTTGACTCTCTTCCATCCCTTGAACTCTGTTTTCTAAGAGCAACATCAACGCCAACGCTTTCTTATCCCCTTTCAAAATATCAACTTCTTTCTACAATTCACTCTTCTCGGACTTTCCCTGAGTAGGAGCAGCTGTAGATTTGCTCTGATGCTCACTACTCTGAACATTCTTCCTCCTCATTACATTCTTTAGCAACTCCTTTTGACCTCTCACAAACCAGTCATTCGCAAACTCATAACGATCTGCATCAACTTTTCTAAACCCCTGACACCAAAAAAAAAAAAAAAACACTAACTTTACTCTCACCACCCAAATTTTTTACTATATTGAAGAAACATCTTTATTGATAATTAGCATATACCCATTTCATGATTGACATAAAGTAATCAAATTTCTCAAAAAAGAAATCAACTTTACATATTCCAAGATTTCAAGAAACAACAAAAGGGCAATTCAAGAAAAGAAATCATTATTATTGATAGAGAGAGAGAGAGAGAGACTAATGTAGATATTGAGCTGGCGGATGAAGCTAGAGAGGTTGCTGTGTTTGAAGTATTTGGGCAAGAGCTGAGCAGAGAAGACGGTCGTGTCAGATATAACGAAGCTATTATCTCCATTAGAACTCCACGAGATTATTGAATCAGTTGAGGAATCGTCCTATGAAAAACTTTATATCCTCTAGGAGACGGAGTTTGAAGTCTCAGAAGAGTGTCAAAACAGAAGCTTCCAAAGAAGGTTTTGTGGAGATGTATGTAGAGGAGAAGAAAGAGTTGTTACTCAAACCTCAGAAACTCTCTCTGAAGTAGCACCTCGTTCTGAAACCGATTCTGAGGGTTAGATCGAAGAGACTTCTGTAGCTGAATCTGTGAAAGAGATCCAAGAGACTTATGAGGCTGATGATTAGTACCCTGAAAGTGCCGAGATGGTGAATTTTTCAGAAGGTAAACATGAAACTGAATCAAGACAATCTGAAAAGACAGCTCTATCTCTCTCTAATCAGTTTAATCGAAGCATAAGCTAAGAGGGAGATCTATAAATACAAAAATGGCGAAGAAGGTGAAAGGAGGAATCCATTGAATGAGAGGAAACGAAGAATTGATTTGATTAAAGTCAAGTATTGATTAGAAGTGGGTTAAAGGTCTGGGAGAACGGAAGTGAAGAAGTCCAATCTCAGGAAGTCTAAAGGTGAGAGAGCATGTAGTTTCTAGATTTCTTCGCAAGAACCAAATTGGGATTCGCAAGATTAAACCATCATATTTGAATTTCGGTCAGAAATCGGGTAACCAAATCTAACGTGGATAATTGGAGGATTTTTATTAGTTGAATATAAAATCCTAGGTGGACATGCTGAGAGGCCTACGTGGATAATTGGAGCCTTTTTATTTGTTGAATATAAAATCCTAGGTGTACATGTTGAAATGCCTTTATTAGTGCCTCTTAATAGTGTATGATGATATAGAAATCATGATTTTTTCTCTTTGTTACTTTTCAAATTACGTAGTTATTCTTAATTCTTTACTATAAGATGCAAATAAGAAAAGAAAAAAAAAAGCAAATAAGCATTAATTGGGCATATTAAAAAATTGACAATAATTAAAGAGATTCGTCTGAAAATAGATTTGGAATTTCTACGCTAAATTTTAAAATTAAAGAGATTCGTCTTAATTTAAATCTACTGGACTTTTTTAACAAAGATTCATTGTTCTTCGAACCCACAACAAAATTTATAGATATGCCTGCTAAAAATGTTGTTAAAAAATTTATGAATACATGAAATATTTCTTTTTCTTCAGACATGGCACTGCTTGCATGAGTTTAACAAGACACCTCAGCATATTCAAATTGGTCCATATTCTAAACAACTTATATCAACATCGCACAGACGTTAACCTGGAATTGTTATTTGGGAATTGGGTCTAATATACAAACAAAAAAATTTGAATTTACTATCTTTCCAAAATCCTCTCCCTCTCTCCTATTTCTTCTTTTAATTTTTCTCTTTCCTTTTCTCTACAAAACTAATTATTTTTTCTTAGGTTATTTCACAAAATCACCATTTTTATTTTATAAGAAACTTTAATAATTCACTACCTATCTAATATATCTAAATAGCTAGGATACAACGTGTATAATATGTACAATGACAATTTTATCCTTTAAAAACTGATGCAATCAGATAATATGTGGGTCAACATGGTTAACAATCACATAATCTAATAATTAACAAGCAACAATAAAGAATAATCAGTTTCTACTCTAGAAAGCTTAGAACATGTCTACTGGGGGTTTATCTCCTTGAAATTCTAAAAAATCATGTGTGTATATATAAAAGTTATTTTTGGATTTATCCTCTAAAGTGAACCTTTAACTTCACTAAACAATAGAATTGTGTTATCCTATGTTTAACATATTTTATTAAAAGAAACAAAATATTATCAAGCTATATTATGTTTTTAAAATAAAAAAAGTAAACAAAAAAAATAAAAAATAGTAATAGTTGTAAAACAAAAAATTTTTAAAAATATATATTTTTAACACCGTCAGCAAAACACAACTTTAAACCCTAAATCCTAAACTCTTGGGTAAACCAGAAACCCGTGGATAAAATCTTAAACACTAATCCAAAACATTAAACACTAACTTTTAAAAACACTAAACCCTTAATCATAACCCCTAAACCCCTGGATAAATTGTAAGCTCTTGGATTTAAGATTTATCTGAGGGATTAGAGTTAGTGTTTAAGGTCTAGTGTTTAGTATTTTGGGTTTAGTGTTTTGTTGACGGTGTTAAAAATATTCTGAAGAAATCTCGTTTTTAAGCACCTATTACTATTTTTATTTATTTTTATCCAAAAATTTATGGGTTATGATTGAGGGTTTATGATTTATTCGAAGGCTTAGTTGTTATCCAAGGATTTATGATTTAGGGTTTAGTGTTTAGTGTTTTTCCGACGGCACTAAAAATATTTAATATAAGTTCTTTTTTTTTTGCAAATATTATTTTGATCTTTTTATTTTAAAAACTTAATATAATTTGACAATATTTTGTTTCTTTTTCAAACGATAATAAATATAAATAACATAAACTTATTGATTGGTCAACTTAGAGATTCACTATAGGAAGTGAACCCAAGAATAAGTCTATATATATTGTATATGTGAATGTAATTGAGGATTTCTAAACTTTACGGGAATCCTAACCGTAATATCTGGTTTTAAATATTATGGGTGTGATTTTCCACCAAATTTAGAAACCCGCAAGTACATACATATATACAATAGTGCAGTTCGTTTGGTAGACATAGCTTTATGCAGCTGCGTCTGAGGCTGTGTCTGTGACTATATCATGTTTATAAGTTGTTGTTCATTTTACAGACGCAGACACAGCCTCAGGCGCAAGTGATTGGTGAACTTAGAGGTTCAGTATAGGAAGTGAACCCAAGAATAAGTCTATATATATTGTATATGTGTATGTAATTGAGGATTTCTAAACTTTATGGGAAACCTAATCGTAATATCTGGTTTTAAATATTATGGGTGTGATTTCCCACCATATTTAGAAACCCACAACTACATACATATATACAATAGTGCAGTTTTTTTGGTAGACACAGCTTTATGCGGCTGCGGCTGAAGCTATGTCTGTAACTACATCATGTTTATAAGTTGTTGTTCATTTTGCAGACGCAGACACGGTTTCAGACGTAACTCAAACGCAACCGCGGGAATTTACGACATCAAATGCAGGACTCAACGTCAGATGCTGCGGTTAGACGCATGTATCTGCGTCAATCCAACAAATAAGATTTTGGAAAAAAAACTCTGCAGCCGCAAACGCAGGTACCTGCAGCAACAAAACTAACAGCACTAATATATACATATAGACATATGGCTTCTTAGAACTTTATGGGAAAAGACTCCCATTGGACTTGCTCTTAGAGATATTGAAAATTAAAGTAGAAAAGATTTATGTTTTGGCTTGAAAAACAACGAAAGTAAAGAATCAACGACGAGGAACCTAACAACCACATCAAGGTAAGAAGTGGTGTTCTATTCAAAGATAACGTGATTTACTAATCCAGTTTTGGAGATGATTGCCATGAAATTAATGATCAGAATTTAATGATGGTGGGCTGGTGAATCTGTGTCATTGTACCAGGAGGGGAGAAGTCATGACTCACCGATTGTACTAGATCTAGTGAAAGGAAGTTATATTATAGTATATGTTCGTTAGTGTAACTATTTGGATAAATTTACTATACTAGTGAAGATATAATTTCTTATTTCTCATATATATCGATTCAATTTCTATTAAATAGAACAATCTGAATACCTACACCTTTGACACTTTAATATGTAAAACCGTTTATAATTTTATTATGTATTAAACCTTATTTCAGGTTTGAGATATTTTTAATTAACAATGAGACAAAGTTAAACATTGGTATTCTTATGCCCGTTCGAGAAACTTTGTATGTCGCTTGTAATATTGTCTTCATTTGGACAAGGGTTACAAATAAGTTTAATATGTATTTATTTATTAAATAGTGTCATTATTTCAAAACAATGTTCCAAACTATTTATCTATCATTTTGTTCTCAGTTTTATAATATTTTACATTCAATGTTCAATTTACAAGTTCGCGTATGTAAATGGAAGGGACCTGCAATTTTAGTAAATGAACCTTATGTGGCGTGAGAAGTCAAAGGAGAAGAAAAGCGAGATAGAAAAGTCTGCAGGCCATACACTAAACTTTAACTCAGATTCTCGTGAGATTGTTCACTTTGAGCAAGCATCAAATATCAATAATATTGTGCAGCATGGTGATCATTGTTACCGAAACAAAGAGAAAAAAGGGAGTGGAGAAAAACGACAGAGTAAAGGAGAGTCAGCCATTCTTTTGCCAGCTCTTCAGACATCAACTATGGAGGATAATGTCACAATTAGTAGTAAAAGTGTGGCTTGTTCTCTCACATACTCTCCACAAGCTTCTGTAAATGCGTTAGGAAATGAGCGTATCATTGGTGCATTAAACGGCATGGAGATACAGGAATCTAATGATGATGGTATGATGGTGTGTTACGATAGAGAAGATGATATATTGAATGGAACTCATTCACTTGGAAGATAAGTCACACTCATCTTTGGCTGCTGGATCTTCAAAGGTTAAACTGGCTACCACGGTCCAAAAAGTTTGAGGAGTGGTAACAAAAAGAACGCCTGTTGGGTATTCAAATTAAAAGACTAGTTCCTTCATCGAGGTTCTCCATGTATGCGATCAGCCATGTCATCTGAACATAATCTACCGGGAGTGAAAGAGAAGTGAAGGCATTCTCATCATAGTTCCAAGAAAGCATGAGTGAGTTCAAAC